TAATAGCTAACATATACTGAGCACTGCTATATGCAGGGGAGTGTGCTTATTAATTTTTGTACACCTTGTTTAAGGCTCCTAAAAGTCCTACAAAATGAGAATTACTATTATCTCCTTTTATACCAATGAGACAACTGAGCTTCAGGCAGGTTGGATCACTTTTCCATCTGGTATGTGGCATGAAGATCACAGAACTGGTAGTGGGGAGAACCCAAATTGATCTAACGACAAAATCCACATTCTTCCCTACAACTCTATATTGCTTTGTTTACCATTACATACAGGAACAGATTACAAATGCGATTTAAGGCTAACAAAGACTTTCTGTGGCTGTGATTTAATACATACGTACACACATTGACAAGTATTAAGAAAAGTATTTTGCTTAAAACCACTATTGTTTTAGATATTATGCATAGTTTTCTAATTAGGCAGCATAAATCCAGAAAGAGTTTTCAAAATATAGTCCGTTCTCATTATTCCTGGTAAATATGTCCTCTCAAGTAGCTCTGAACGCTGACTCGGTGCACACGGAGCCATTGCTCCAGACGGAAGTACAGGGTTAGGTTCCTGCGAGTCTCTGGTCACAGCATGTCTGTCAATCAATCCATATATAATCTTTTTTGGTGTGTTTTTCTGTTCAAAGATAATAGACTATTTAGGCTACGTTGAAGATTAATAACTCAAACTCATGGCCAACAGCACTACAGCTCATGCCTGAACGTCTCTTTCTGACACACCAATTTTCTCCGTAAGGCATGACGCAGCATTCTTATACTTAGGAACACTAGACAACTCTTCAGCACTATACCTGGGGGCCACTCTAAGCAGCAAAATCAGAGATTCAAACACAAAAATGTGAAAAGTCTGACACTAAATACAGAGAACAACCTTTACTTAACACTATGAGCTGAAACAGGAAGTAGAAAATGGACTTACTCAGCCTCAGCTGGGGACACATACCACTGCTCAGTGCGTGCCTATGAATGATTGAGAAAGCGCCTGGGCTATTGCCTTTGGGGTTACAAATAAGTTGTGAGGAGGAAGTGAATTCACTAATGTCGAATCTGTGAATATTGAGGATCAAGTGATTATATTCAGAATATAGGTTCCCACTGTAGTTTTAGCCAGTTTAAATCATTTTCCAACCATATGCACATGAAATAATTTCTTACCTCTGGTTACAGAGGCTAAAAGCACTCAATCTTTGAATCTGTGTTTTGCTAACTCAGATGTGTAGTTGGGTATTTCCACTGTGCAGGCCTCCTTCAAGTCAGCTGGGAAGGCCTGTTACTGCACTCCTTTCCTATCTAGGACACATTCATGTTCTTTATGTCCCCATGACAGGAAAATCCAAGAGTTCCGCCCTGCAGTCAGTGGCTAAATGCAACTGTGAAAATAGGACCCCAACAGAAGTGGGTCACATGCACAGTACCGCCTAGGCTTCTTGCACTTCTGCTTTGTTTTTATTTTGTCCTTTCTTCCTATTGTGAGAGCATTTTTCTGAGCAATAATGGGCAGAAACAGCTTAATCATAACTGTGAAAAATGAGATTTAGAAGTGCCATTTTAGATGGAGATGACGCTTTTTGTCGTGGCAGGTACTGTTAAAAGCATGCAGACAACATGTACCCCTGGAGGGTCTTTAGCATCTTTATGTCTGAACTTAAATGAGCCTTGTTATTTTCCCCATTAAGGCTCAACTCACAGCCAGTTGCTACTTAGGAGAGCTTGGGCCTGGAGCGGTATGCCGCCTCAATTGCCTGATGGCAGGTGGAAGTTCTTACACAGCAAAGTCACAGGAGAAAATCTACTATTAGGAAATTGTCAAAGTGACAATAACGTAAATGCTCCTTAATCTTACCCCATTCTCACAGAATCTGGGTTTAAGAGTAATCTCTATAATGTACTGTAACCCATTAATTTATATTTACTATTCCCAAAGTGAAATGAAATCCAACCTTAACAATGGGAATTCTCACCAGATGTCCCTTTCTGTTGTCTCCCAGGTACACACTCAGAGAGCAGAGATTCTGTATGCATTGCCTGGTACCTAGTTCCCGGATGTTAGTGGCATAGAGGTAAATCTGTGTTAACTGCATTATTATTTTTTGTTTTTATTTAAAATTTTTAATTGTGGTGGATTGTATATAACATAAAATTTATCATCTTAACCATTTCTAAGCGTACAGTCCAGTACTGTTATCACTGTGCAACCAATCTCCAGAAATTTTTCATCTTGCAAAACACCATATCCATTTTAAACAATTCCCCCTTTGCAGACTCCCCACCAGCCCCTGGAAACCACCACATTCTATTTTCTGTTCCTATGAATTTAACTACTCAGATTCTATGAATCTGACTATTCATTTCTATGAATATGACTACCTCATATGAGTGAAATCATTCAGTATTTGTCTTTTTGTGTCTGGCTTATTTCACTTAATGTTCTCAAGGTTCATCCATGTTGTGGCATGTGCCACAATTTCCATTGTTTTTAAGGCTGAATGTATATACCAGTACATTTTGTTTTTCTGTTCATCTATGAAGGACACTTGGGTTACTTCCACCTACTCCTTTATTTTAAAGCAGCTAAAATCTAGTGAAACAAAGGAGACAACATGTCCCCTTGAAACGAAGTTGATCTTTATGCTCTCTTTAAACTTAGGAATTAAGCCCATTTCCTGGAGCTGGATGATCTGACCATGGCTTATGTGGTCCCAGTCAGTTTTATCTCTCTCCTCATCCCCTACCTCACTCACTCCTCTCTGGCTGTTTTTGCTCTTTGTCTCACAGGCCAATCTTACTCTCACCTCCAGACCTTTTCCAGTGTTGTTCCCTCTGCTTGGAATGTTTCCTCTCCTCCAATTTCTGGATAGCTCTCTCCTTTCCTTCAAATCTCTGTTCAAATGTCACCTTATCCAGGAGACTTTCTCTGACCATCCTCTACCAGTAACAACCAGTCCCACACTCCCTGTCTCTCTTTTGCTTGATGTTTCCTTAATAGCCATCACCCTAACTCATATATTGTCTTGTTTTTATCACCTATTTTTCCCACTAGCAAGTTCTGTGAGCTTAGAGCTTTGTTTTATTCACCACTGTATCCCCAGTACTTAGACATGTGTCTGGCAAATAAGAGGCCCTCAAAAACACTTTACTTACTCATTTGGTATTATTTATGTATTTCTTAATAAGTATCAGGCATTGTTCCAAGCACTATACAAATGTTAGCTCATTTCATCCTTACAGCCATCCTAAGAGGCAGGTATTATAATTGTCCATATTTTACAGACAAAGAAACTGAGGGCATAGAGATATCAAGTAACTTATTCAAGGTCACCCAGCTGGTATACGATGGAGCCACATTACAAATTCAAACAGCGTGGCTTTTAACCACAGTTCTATGAGTGAAGGAATAAATAAAGGGACCTTTAAATTACAAAACAAGAGGTAAGAGGTTTCAGATTTTCACCTTTCCATTCTATCATGTTCTTGCTGGGTGACAAATTGTACTGTGAATTATAGATTCTACAGGGCAGAGGATGGAACAGATAACTTGCTCAACTGCCTTTTCCTTTCTGCTGGCAGAAAAAAGCCCTGGCACATGAAGCTGTATTTCTCTCCATCCTGGGAACTGTGTTCAGGGCTTCGTTACGGGCAGTTGAAGTTAGCATAGTGCCCGCCTGACTAAACGACAGTCTAATTCGTTTCAGAACCTGGCAGGTCAGGACATACTAACATCCTTCTGGGAAAAAGATTTAGTCACTAATATTCACCAGTCTTAACTGGAAGTACAAATACCTTACTGAGAAAGGAAGACACTCTAGAATTTCAGCTTCCTTTTATGCTATATACAGATATCAACATTTAGAGCTATGTTTTTTCCAGCATATTCTTACAGTTTAATTGCTCTCATTTTTCTCATTCAGTGTTCTCTTTCTTCTCTCGTCCCTGCTCTGTGTCCTTCACCATGTAGTGTATATATGATATAGGGTCTTGGAATTCCCCTAATGTGTCACTTCAGTTGAACTTGGAAGACTCCGAGGTGATTACTAATTTATTGCTGTCTTCTGCTAAGTGCTTAATGCAAGCTTAATAAAAATCAATAGTTGTGTGTGCCTTACCATTGTAGGAATATGCTTGTGATGTATGATTACGTTAGGCAGTTGTCAGGTGATTTATTAAAAACTCATCTAAGATAATCTACCACCTCCATTTTATTGGTGTCATGGATGATGTTAACGGCTGTATAAGTGGAAGTAGAAGCAGGGAGCAGATGGAGAAGAGCAGAAACTATACACCCTCTTCTTCAAAAGGCACTTTGTGAGCAAAGAGGCTAATAATGAAGAATAAGGACATCTTGCTTGAACTGAATAACGCCCCAGAGAATTAGAGTTAGGAGGCTAAATGCATTTCCAACCAAAAGGCCAAGGTTGTAAACTTACACATCGGGCTTTACCTCCTACCGGAAGAAAACTCACTTGTTTCTGACAACAAAGGGGGACTGGTCATTGACCTCACCATCTGCAGCACCACCCAGAACGCTTGACCTCCTGCCCCTCTGTGTTGGAGGAGAGCCTTGCTCTATAAAAGAAGATCTCTGTGGAAGATGGATAAAACTATCCGTCTGCCCTAAGAGAGAACTAGACTCTTTCGATAAAATAATTCAACTTTCTACTTTCAACTGTCCTCACAAACAGTGTGGGTGAATGGAGTTACAAACTGCTCAGACCTCATTGCTTTCTAGATCCACACAGAACACCTCAGTCCTCCAGCTGAGAGACTCTGCAGCCTGTGCACAGCATGGGACCATGCAGGAGGTGGCATCTCCCAGCCCCGACTCGCATATCAGCAGGATATTCTGTTATGCTGAAGGAAGAATGTGGTTCATCTTCTTTACAACTTCCAGAAATCTGACATTTCTTCCTAGCCAGGCCTCCCCAACTCCAGCTGCTCTGAATACCAAAATTGCCTGGCAAACTTTTAGTGTTTGAGGAGGTTTTTAAAAGGAGAAGCTCTTTAATTTGCTACACTACAACATCTGTGACTTCAGCTATTTCATGTAAATACCTCTGACTCGAAATATATGAATTGTTCAAAATGTTGGGACATAGAAATATTTATTATATCATTCATCTGATTAGAAATAATTTACGTGAATAAACAACTGCAGCTTTTAATTTAAACTTAGAAAATTCTCAGAGTAAGCTCCTATCATTCTCCAGAACAGAAGGCATAAAGAAGACAGCTAGCAGGCTGAGACTGATCCACTCTAGCTCTTACGCCTTTTCCATCTCCTCTCTTACTTGTCAGAACTGGACTGATTCACTTCAGACTCCACGCTTTAGAGATTTCACCTGATTGTTCACTCTCCATAGACAGCCCTTCACCTCCCCGGGGAAAGCATTTCTGCTATGACATTCTGCTCGATCCTTATAAGGCCCAGGCATCCTGGAAAGCTGCTCCACTGGCACACAATTTAGCAGTGGTGAGGCCGATGTTTTGAAGAAACACAGGGGAGGTGGGAAGAGATGTCCCACTCAGAGATGAGCTAAGAGAGCTCTTGACTTCAGCAGGCATAGAAAGTGATGGGTTTCCTTGGGAAGAAAATTAAAAAAATAAAGAAGGACTATCTTTACGAGTGTCAGATGAAGAATCACCATTTTGATCATTCTCTATACTCTTTAAACCAGGAGGCAGCTGCAGCCTCATTGGTGCTTTGAAATTCCTTGTTTCAATTTTACATTTTGCATTGTTTTCAGTGACCTACAAAGCAGTTGGCAAATAGTTAAGGCCATTCCATGGGTCCTGGATTACCAAGGACACCACCTGTATGGTCAGCTTCACTTCAGGCTCTCTTTAGGCTTCACTGGACAACAGATGACGCCATCAATCATTTGATTCTCAGAAAAATTTCTTCAGCCAATTGGTAATAATCTGCATCCTGTTTGTAAGTACACAGTCTCCTCGGAGGACATCTGAGGACTCTGAGGATCTTCAGAAAAAATCTCCAGTGGGCAAGGTGCAGTGAGGATAATCAAGGAGGCCAAGGATCAATAGATCCTTCTTTAACTTCTGTTGGCCTTCTACTGGGTGAGTGGGCTTTACTAATGGATCCTGAATAAGTAACTTCATCCCAAAGCTTAATTCTGAATCTCCACGTGCACACCCTCTTTCCTGCAGGATCATCCCTTGTGGCACGCACTGATTCACCCTGACTGTAAGTAGAAGTCGGGCGGAATCTGCACTAAGCCCAGTATGTAAGCACATCCTCTAAAAGCAGGGAGGAGAAACTGAGCAAGAGTGCTTGGCTAGGACTCAAGAGGCAGGGAAACCGGCTTCTTGCCTGGCTCTACCACCAACCACTCACTCATGATGACAGCTCTGAGCAAGTCACCCTGTCAAGATTTCAGTTTCCTCACTTACACAGTGAAAGGGTTGGACTAATTATCTGTAAACTTTTTTCCTGCTCTGGTATTCTCTCAATCTAAACGATAATGATGACCAATGAAATTATTTTCCTGAGGCTTTCTGTCAATCATGTATGTGGATGTCTAAGAGGGAAATAGAGAAAGGCATATTAGCAGCTCTTGTTTTTTGACATTATTTTCTTAATTTCCTACAAATGCTTCAGTATCCTCTCTAAAAAAATTAGTAATTTTATTTACTATGATTAGAATTTCCAGTACATCATAAAATCCATAGGCAAACATTACACTAAGAATGTGCCAGTGTGAAAGCAAAATCACTAGTTTATTGGGTAAAAGAAATTATATGGCACTGTGTAAAATAAAGCAAACAAGCCTACAAGTTTGAGAAACAAAAATTAGTTTGTGATTTTCCTTCCAGTTTTATCCATTTATTTGGAATCTTATAGAAATAATACTGGAGTATTGCAATACAAATTGGAGTCATAATATTTAATATTTAAAAAAACACTATCTTACATTCTTTCTTAATAGATTAGACAGCCAATAAAGAAGGTGCATCTGGTCCCTCTTAACTATGAAGAGCTCTCTATATGCAAATCTACAGATCTCCAGAAGGAGCGCTGAAAAATACTCAAAAAAATAAAGGCTGAAAAATCCCCAGATTTGGGGGGAAAAAATCTACAGACTCAAGCTTAGTGAAACTCACATAGGATACAATCAAAGAAATACACACCAAGACTGAAAACTAACAAACAAAAAGAAAAGTCTAAAAATGAAAGACAAAACAGAAATCTTGAAAACAATTACAAAGCATGAAATGACTTCTTATAGGGGAAAAGCAATTTGAATGATCGCACATTTCTCATCAGAAATCACGGAGTCCTGAAGGAAATGGAACCACATTTTTCAAGTGTGGCAAGGAAATAACTGTCAACTCTGAAGCCTAAATCTAGCAAAAGCATCCCTCAGAAATGAAGAGAAATCAAGATATTCTCAGATGAAGAAAAAGAAAGAAAATTTGTTTCCAGCAGACCTATTCTAAAATAACAGCTAAAGAAAGCCTCTAAATAGAATGGAAACAAAAGAAGGAAGGAAGGAAGAATATGGTAAGCAAAAATATGGGTAACAACTCCTCTTGAGACTCCTAAAGTATGTTGATGGTTGAAGCAAAACTTATATCACTATCTGATGTGGTTCTGAATGTATACACTGGGAAAATATTTAAGACAATTAATAAATGGAGGAGAGTAAAGGGATGCACTAGGAGATAAGTGTTCTATGCTTTATTTTAACTGGCAAAATAACATCAGCAAACTGTAACAAGTTATATATAGATGATACATACCTAGAGCAACCACTAAATCTATACAAAAAGATACACTCAAAAACACTGTAGATGAATAAAAATGGAATTCTAAAAAATGTTCAAGTAGCACACAAGAAGGTAGGAAAAAGAAAACAGAAATGAAAAACAGAATAAACAGAAAATAAAAAATAAAATGGCAGAATTAAGGTCTAACACATTAGTAATTACATTAAATGTAAATGACCTAAGTATATCAGTTAAAAGACAAATATCTGCAGACTGAAGTGACAGAAACTCATTTCAAATATAATGATATAGACAGGTTGAAAAAAGAATGAAAAAGATATACCATATAAACAATAATCAAAAGAAAGCAGGAGTAGCTACATTAATGTCAAATAAAGTAAGATATAGTGCAAAGAAAGCTACCAGAGACATAGAGGGATGTTATATGTACATAAAAAGGCAATTCATAAGATAATAATAATTCTAGGTGAGTATGTACCAACAAATAAGCTTCAAAATACTTGTACCAAACTGATAAAACTGAAAGGAGAAATAAATCCACAATTAGAGCTGGAGACTTAAACATCTCTTTCTTAAAAATTAAAAGAGCAACTGGACAGAAAATTATCAAAGATATAGAATAACCCAATAACTTACTGTATATTTAGGGATATAAAATAAGCCATCAACTAATAATATAACAGATATTTATAGAACATTTTACCCAACAACAGTAGAAAACACATTCTTTTCAAGTGCTCATGGGACATATACCAAATAGATCATATCCTGCACCATAAAACAAACTTCAACAAAATATTAAAAATTGAAATAATACAGAATGTGTTCTCTGACAACAATGAAATCAAACTAGGATTCAATAGCAGACAGTTAACAGAAAAATCTCCAAACATTTGGAAACCAAACGACATGCTTCTAAATAATCCATGGATCAAAGAATGAATGAACTGAATGAAAATGGAAATATACCATATCAAAATTTGTAAGTCAGCTAGAGCTAATAAGAGAAATTTTTAGCATTAAAAGTGTATGAGAAAAGAGGCAACGTCTCAAATCAGTAATCTCAGAATCTAGAAAAAAATGGAACAAAATAAACCCAAAGCAAACAGAAAAAAGGAAATAAATGTAAGAGCAGCAATCAATAAAATGGTATGCTAATCTCAAAAAGAGATCGGCAGTTTCTTTAAAAAAATTGAAACACGGGACTACTGTACAACTCAGCAATTATCCTCCAAGGTATTTATCCAGAGAAACAAAAACTATGTTCACATAAAAACCTGTATATGAATATTTATGGCAGCTTTATTCATAATAGATCCACACTGGAAACAACCCAGAGGACCTTCAATGGGTGAATGATTAAGCAAACTGTAGTAAACCTACACTATAAAGTACAACTAAAGGAAATAAAATATTAATAGATAAATGATCTGGATAAATCCCCAGAGGATGATGCTGAGTTAAAAGAGTCAGTGAAAAGGTTATCTACTGTATGACTCCATTAACATAACATTCTTGAAATGACAAAATTATGTAAAAGAGGAAAAAATTAGTGGTTGCCAGGGGTTAAGGAGGGGTGGTAGTGGGATGAAATGGATATGGCTATAGAAAGAACATGCATGATCCTTGTGGTAATGGAAATATTTTTTGACTTTATCCTGGTTGTGATACTGTACCATGTTTTGCAAGATGTTACCATTGGGGGAAATGGAATAAAGAGGACTTGAGATCTCTCTATATTATTTCTTACAACTGCATTCAAGTCTATAATTATCTCAAAATTAAAAGTTTAATTTAAAAAAAATTTAGGCAAGAATATATAATGGAGAAAATGTAGTCTCTTCGGCAAGTGGTATTAGGAAAGCTTGACAGCAAAATGCAAATCAACAAAGCTGGAACACTCCCTCACAGCATACACAAAAACAAACTCAAAATGGCTTAAAGACTTAAATATGACAGGACATCATGAAACTCCTAGAAGAGAATATAGGCAAAACATTCTCAGACATAAATTGTAGCAATGTTTTCTTAGGTCAGTCTTCTAAGGCAACAGATATAAAGGCAAAAGTAAACAAATGGGACCTAATTAAATTTATAAGCTTTTGTACAGCAAGGGAAACCATATACAAAACAAAAAGACAATCTATGGACTAGGAGGAAATATTTGCAAACAGCTCATAAAACTCGATAACAAAAAACCAAACAACCCAATCAAAAAATGGGCAGGAAACCTGAACAGACATTCCTCTAAAGAAGACATACAGATGGACAACAGGCACATGGAAAGATGCTCAGCATCACTAATTATCAGAGAAATACAATCAAAACTGCAGTGAGATATCACCACCTCACACTGGTCAGAATGGCCATCATTATAAAAAATCTACAAATAATAAATGCTGGAAAGGGTGTAGAGAAAAGGGAACCCTCCTATACTGTTAGTGGGAATGTAAATTGGTGCAGCCACTATGGTGAACAGTATGGAGGTTTTATACCAGTTGACTTGGTTGGAGTTTCAATGACAACTTTTCGAATAAGGGGGAAAAGGTGCAAAACAGATGTACAGTTTTAGCTCATTTTTGTTAAACAGACACAAATCATTAAGTTAAAAGCCTTGAAAGAAACACATCAGTTCTCAGCATGGGTTATCTTATGTAGGTGAGGCCCAGTACATATAGTAATGGGAGGTAGGGAGAAAAGGATTATTAAAATGCAATAAAAAAAAAGAGAAGAGAAAAATTCACTAATATTTCACACATATACATGTGGGAAATATGCATAAAGAAATTAGAGGAAGATATTTGGAGTTAGATTTTTATGATCTTGAATATGT